CAGGATCATCTGCATGCATTGAAGGACACAGCTCCCTCCCCTCTGGCTTGCTGATGTCTACATGTGTAAATACTGTTTATGTTATTTGCACTGCTATGCCAAGTAACTGAATTGTCGACAGCCAGTGAAGGAGGTTTTGGGAACCAGCAGGAGCTGCCCCCCTGGGCTGCCTCTTGTTTTTTAGTACACCTAGGGGTCTATTCACGAAGCTACCGAAGGATCTGGCCGTAGCGTCGGCCCATCCTTTTGCTAGCTTCGGCCCCAGGACCCCTTTGGTTCAGTAGAAAGCCGAAGCTGGCCTGCTTCTGACAGCTGGGCGGAGCCAGCCGTGATCTTAAGGCTGGCTCTGGCCAATTTCAGAGAGATCAGCGTCCCTGGTTACCTGCTAACCATGGGCACTGATCTCCAAACAGCTAACTCTCCCTGGCGGCCCGGGAGTCTCCTGCTCCCGGCCGCCAAGGAGAGAAACAGGGCTATGACACGCGATGTCAGAATAGAAAAAAAAAAGTTCCGAACAGTGTTCGGCTCACTTCACTTCAGATCGGTCATTCACTCGGCAGCTTCGTGAATAGACCCCATAGTGTCCTATTCCTGCAGGTGGCAATATACCCAGTCTATAATTGTCTAAAGCAGAACTGTGTCCTCCAATAAACGAAACAAAAAAACCCACAATTTAAAATAGTTGTGTATTTCTTTAAAGTCCAAATATTGAATAGAGCAGGGAACGGATAGAAATAGAACCTCTGTCGGGTTTTTATTGTGGTTTGTGCCCCCACAAAAAATTAGGAATCTCTCAAGCAGTGACACCTAGTACAAAAACAAAATGTTTTCCAGTAAAAGGGAAAGGTTAGAACCTTAGACAAGTTATCATTACTATTTGTAGTCGTACCGGAATGAATGCCAAAACACACATATCAAAAGTCCAAAACTCTACTTTATTATACCACAGGTGGCAAAACAGTAATAAAAGACATCCAATGTGTTTTGGGGGCCAAACAATCCTCCTTCATCAGGGCTTCATAAAGATACAACAGACAAATGATATACACTGAGTGGCCAGATTATTATGACCACCTGACGTTTGTAGGCAAATTAGCTATAATTTTGCGCTGAAGTTGCTAGAGGGCCAGACCATTATAAATAGGGAGGCAGGTTGTTTACCACGACGGTAGAAGTGATTTGTTTCTGAAGATCTGAAGATTTGGGTAAACAATGCGATTTAACAGCCTTTGAACGTGGGATGATTGTTGGCGCTCGGAGCCATGGAGCGAGTATCAACAAAACAGCAGAATTCGTTAAATGTTCAAGAGGGGCTCATTGTTAAAGTGTTTAAAGACTGGACTATCAGCTGAAAATCTGGGTCTGAACGTGCGAATTGTGGCCGTCAGTGACTAGTCAATGTTAGGGCAGAACGGAGAGCGGCAAGACTGGTACAAGACAACAGAAGGGCAACAGTGCAGTGTCAGATTCCTCGCATCACCTTTCAACATCTCGTGGCCCAACAAAGTACTGATGGGGTGGTCATAATAATCTGGCCACTCAGTGTATGTGGAAGATGTGCATATGAAATTTGATAATTTCATCAAATGGGAGGCAACCAATTAGAGATCAGCATGCAGAGAGGCTTCAGTGGACCGGTTGTCACAACCAGCACAGGTTAGACGGTTTGCATGTGTGTAAGCCAATTGTGTATTTAACTGTGTGGCCTTTCTTACTAGATTCTTATATAACTTACAATCTGGATATAACATTTTCTCAACAGAGCTACCAGCTGTGCCCTTTTATTTCATCAAAGGGTCTCACTACTTCTGCTGCATTGTTTGCACACTGAAAAAATTTATAATAGGTGGAACATTTAAATAGACAGTGAAGTCAGTAAGCAAATATTGAAGAACAGAGATGCGTTATACAAATGGAATAGGTAGTCAAAGAGATATGTGACTCAGAAAGCAGAAAGAAGGCTGTGGGGCCCTGGGTCACTTAGTCCAGGTAGGTGTCCTGGTTATAATTATATTGATACATTCCTGATTTATGAACTTGCAAACATAATAACTGTTAATGATATTTTTTTTACTAATATAATATTTTACGCATGCCACCTAGAATAGATTTTAACATAGACCCAGTCATATGAGATCACCAACTACAACTGGGAATGCAAGTTTAACCATTCAAATAGATTATGGGTTCATTTATAAAAGTTCTGCCCGATGCTGTTCGCACAACACTATCGCCCCTAGATGGCTTTGAGGAGCATAGGAAATTTCTATACTCATCAGCGCCATCTAGGGGCGCTAGCGATGTGCGAACGACATCTGTCCGGTGTATATAAATGAACCCCTATGCATTTACTATTTATTTATTATTAGTATTTTATATAGTGCTATATACAATCGAGGGATTGGGGTTTGCAATTACATATATAAGATACTTATAGACCACGGCTCTCTTTTACAAATATAGAAAAATAAGAAATACCCTCAAATTATCGAGATCCCAATTGTGAGCTCAAAAATATATTCAAATTATAACAATTTTTTATCTCGTATGAAACTACACATAAATATACATACATATAAAAATATACACACATTTTTTTTAAAAAGCTATCAACCTCATGATATGGCTATATTGGCAATTTCTTATTTTTCTATATTTTATATAGTGCCGACAATTTACGCATCGCTTTACACAGAGCACATTCACATGAGTCCCTGCCCTCAACGAGCTTACAATCTAAGGTCCCTATCTTATATGCATACAAGGCCAATTTAGACAGGAGCTAATTAACCTTCCAGCATGTCATTTTGAGTATCCCCGGTGAAGCGGGGGGTGGGGCGATCTTCTAAACCCCTGAAATGTGTTTTTTTTCCCTTACTGAATGCAACTTCTAATAAAAAATAATTGAGGGACTCTATACAACTTGTTTGGTGGTTTCCTCTTTGTACATACAGCTGAATAGAAATTAACATTTTCAGAAGAAAATCAGCAATGGCAGTCCCTATATTTTCTATCACGATGGGCCCACTTTGAAAACAGAAGGAGACACCCATCCTCCTTCTGTGCTCTCTCAAGCTTATTTTGGTTCTTCGCAGCACAGATACCCAGTTCAGGCTTCATGTGTTTCTTTCTTTTCCTGCATCCATTCCCATTTATTTTTTTTCTTGATTTGACACTGCAACTAAAGCTGTTTCCCTGCTTATTTCTAGATTTTCTTCCATTTGGTAGACACTATTAGTATGTGTTTAATCAACAGTTATTTGGCTTAGCAAATTATGTTTCTGTTATAATCTACTGAATGCTACAATGACATCTGGTGGCCATCAAGGAATTAATGAACAGTTCTGATAAGTCCATTTAAGCCTGCGTTAATCAAACATACTGTATAATTGCTGCATGCAAGCTCTAATCAGCAATCTGTAATAGATGAGGAACAGAGATATGTACATATCATTGACTGCATACACGCGATTACCTATGCAAGCTGAACTGCAGCCTTCCTTTCAGGGCCGGTTCCCACCACAAAGGCTGCGTTCCAGAGCGTTCGGCACTAGCACTATTTTTGGAGATCGCACTGTACCGGAACGCAGGCACTAATGCGCCTGTGTTCCGGGTGCGGGCGCGTGGCTGTGGTGCCACTGACTTCAATGCCCCCTCCCTCCCCTGAACGCAGGGAGCTGGCCGGCTTGCGTTCCAGAGGAGCCTTTGTGGTGTGAACCGGCCCTCAGTCCTGCACGTTTGTACCGGCTCCTCAGCAGGACTGAAAATGCTTACTCTGATTTCACTGCACACTGTGACCTTCTCACAATGTGCATTAGAAGCTGCAGCAATTCAGATAGAGCCCACCTCATTTCCTGGCTGGGGGATGCTAGCATGAACCGCTGGCCGCTGTCAAAATACCCGAATGAAGGCTGTAAGTGATTAGCTGAACGCTCCATTGGGCTGAGAATTTTCCAACCTGCTCCTTCAATCAACCGATGGAGGGATGCCAGGCGGAAGGGTGCCGATAGTGGAATTCACTGTGCGAATTCAGTGATGAACCAACTAACAATATGTGTATACCCTTCTTTATCTAGGGCCGTCTGCCGGCAAAAACAGCATGCCTAGGAATGCCCACTTCTCCAGACTACCATTCACTTATTAAGGCGTTTTTCATATTTGCATAACCCCTCCCAAACACCAGGTCACTGCTTCCACCGTGGCTGAGGGTTTTTGTGAAGAGTACTGAGACAGGATGCTGTGATGTTCCCAGGAGGCTATGTACAGAACCACGTCAACCCCTCCCACCAGCCATGATCTGTCTGCTTTGCATAGAGAAACACAAGTGATAACATCACTGGGTCTAAAATAAGGTATGCAATGAAAGTAAAAACTTTTTATTTAAAAATCTAACTATTGATGAGAGGCGAAAAGTAATAATCAAGGAAGGCAAAATATAAGCAAATTAAACTTCAGAGTACAACCTACCCGACATGAATCTCCAGCTGTTTTGTAGTAATATAAATAAGTGCCACCCACAGCTCGGGACAGGACATTTGAGCCCAGGGTTGTCAGCGTTGCTACGTCAGGGTACTGAAAGTGCACTGCGCATGTTTGGCTTTGGAAACAGGGAGATTGCTCACACCTGAGATGCTGGAAGTGATTGTCCATTGTATGAAGTGTCCTAGCAGCAAGGCAGGATGGGGAATGCTAACTAGATGGGAGTTTTTTGGCCAGGCTTCAGGTGTACAGGTATGGCACTTACATTAAGCTAACATTTTCAAAACTGTACAGTTCTTTTTTTAACTACTGGGGCCCCTTGTCTGCATAGTGACCGTATGCAAATATGAATTAGCCTTTAGGTTGGTGACAGGGTCTCTTTAAGTGTATTCCTTTTAGCAAAGTACAGGTTCACTTTAAGATACACCCATCACCAAGGATGACACAGCTATGTTTAATTTACAGGTTTTGCAGTTGTCATTGAGTGGAATCCTATCCAAGGAAACTAACACTTCATTTCCCAATTCATGTCCCTAGCTCAGACAACCTTTGGGAAGGTGTTTGAACTGAAGCCAGAAGGAGGAAGACTCTTTTTCTTCGGAGCCTCCATGGTCTGGGAAAGTCTCAGCTTTGTCTTTGAATTGTAGTTTTGTTTTACACCAAAAGGATGTTGAGCTTTTCCCAGTAGAAACAGCTCCCACTTCGGAAGCTCTTCTTCCACTGATGCCCAGTACTGGTTCTGTAACACACACAACAAATAAATATGACTAAAGTTGTAAAAACTATTCTTCTTACAAGCTTCTTTTGGAGAGAGTAGAAGGCTAATATAAAAAGGTTAAACTCACATTTGGTAAAACAGTAGTAAATGCAGCAACATTGACCTTCATGATCAATGCGCATTTATTCCATTTTTACATAAAATCCTGCAGAGCATTGTACCTGCAATCACTGTATTATGGGAGCAATGCACAGGCTCTTTCAATGTCTGCCCCCAGCCTCAGATCCAGGTATGGGTGTATCATGGATCATGGTTGAAAACATTGAATTAAAGAGGATCAAAACCCAACAAAATCCAAAACTACTATAGGTATAAAGTGTAGGCATCAAAACGTGCCTGCACATTCCTGTAGCAGCCTCCTGAACTCTCCTGTTGTGGTTCAATCCTGGATAGGCAAAGTTCCAACACATTCAGATTGCATGGGAGCTTCCTGCTACGTCCAGTGCCCACACTTTCCTATTGGCCTATTACTATGATAGGCAGCCTCACTGACCAACAGATATGTGTAGGTGACAGGAATTGGGAGGCAAACGTCAGTGCCTGTCAAATTGGTTCAGGATTTAATGTGGCAGGAGAGTTTGAGAGATTGCTGCAGGTACAGCAACCAGCAATGCAGGCTAGATGAACATAAAGAAGCCAGGAAGCACCCTTTGCAGAGACACTGTCACTGTGCGATGCAAGGTGACAGCGTCTCTTTAAAAATGCTGACATGTTTGCTTTAGACAACGTATGCTGCTTTTTACCAACCTCTAGCTTAGCCAGCGAGGGATCAGGACCAACTTGTAATCCTCGTTTTAGATTTTTCACTGATGTTTGAAAATCCTGAAATAAAAGGTCATTGATAAGAGGAAATAATGTAGGGAAATTAGTTTCACTCCTTGCCACTGGCCCTTTAAGGGGTTTTGAATGCCGGGAGTTGCAGGGGGCATCCTGATCATGTGGTCACTGTGACTGTATGTCACAGCAGTCACATGATCGGGAGCCCGTCACACAGGCTGTTGGTGATGGCACAGTCACTGTGGTGGGAACACCGACGCGTTCTCAGCACAGAACAATGGAGCAGAAAAGTTCCAAGCAGTGTTATCTGTTCTGCCCAGGTTACCTCTGTGAACTAAAGAACAATTCCTGTAGATGAGGAGAATGAGGAGAAAAGGTCACTTCCTGTCCTAGGATGACAACGCTGCTCCTCTACAGACAGAGTAGAGTGAGTGAGCTTTGTCACTCTAGGACAGGAAGTGTGTTAGTGGAGGTAGTGTTAGAAAACCAATGCAGACACACATTTAAGGACTGGCATATTTTACATGTTTGGTTTGCGAGTCATACGTGCAGTAAATTGAAACTCCAGTCCAACAGCAAAATACACAGTTAATATTGATATACTGTATGTTTACTGTTTTACCTGCCAAAGGATTTGTAATTCTATCAAGCCAGTCTTGTAATACACACACATTTTCCATTCGGTACCACAACCCAGTCCCCTCAACTCTGCTGCAACATATTATTATTATTATTTTTGCAAGTTTTACATTTCTTTCAGCACGGCTCAGCGCTCGACTGAGCCGCTCGGCCGTGATCGGGAGCTGTACGGGCTATTGTGAATAGCCGTACAGCACCCCCTCGGTTCTCCTGAACCGAAGGGGTCCTGGTGCCGAAGCTAGCCGAAGGATCGGCCGAAACTACGGCCAGATCCTTCGGCAGCTTTGTGAATAGACCCCTAAGTTTTCTTTTATATACAGTACAATAGTGAACATATGATTTAAAGCAGGGGTTCTCAACCTGTGTAACCTCAGGACCCACATTTGTCCTTGGTCATTAATCATGACCCAAGTTGCACCGCACTGGAACGCAGGGCATTGTGGTACCGCGCTTTCCGGTGCAGCGGATCGAAATGTGGGTGGGAGGTGCGTTTGGGGTGCCATTCAAATGAATGGCCATGCAACACACCTACCACATCAGAACAAGTATATGTGCGATTAAGGCACTGTACTAGTGTGAACGGGCCCTCAAAATCAATGACAGACACACACAACCACAGACATTCTCACCCACTCATACACACTTCAATTTTTTTTATAATTTTTTTAAGATCCACACAGTCTTCCTATCTTATGAGAACTGGAGTGGATCCTCAGCCTGGGGTCCAGTGTGGGCTGCTGTGCTGTGACGGAGCTCCATCCATATGCAGCTCCCTCGTGCGCCCTGTTGAGGTGCTCGGAGCCAGCATGTGACGTCACTCCGGTCTAGGCACCTCTACATGACACTTGAGGGAGCTGTAAGCAAAGAATGTATGACTGGAGCTCCCTCACGGCCACAGCCCCAGCCCGCCCCACCTCAAGCTGACATTTGGCATCGGGCAGCATATTTTGAATGGCTGCTTGGCGTGAGAAATGACAGTGCTGCGCTAGGGGGAGGCTAAGGAGCCTTTCACCTAGAAAAGTGGAAGGCATGCAGTGACCAACTGAATACGGGGTCGCGACCCACTTTTGGGTCACGACCCACTGGTTGAGAACCAAGGATTTAAAGGGTTCTTCTCTCTTTGGTATTCATCATCCAGAATATACACTTGAGATTAACTTAAAATAATGTCACCCTAGTGTGGTAGTTAAAGTCCAACTCCATTCAAAAACAAATTATCTACCATCCCTCTAACCTATCCTGCCAGGTGTTTCTTTTTTCATAGTTGGTGAAGAAAATTATACTCACCAGAGTCCCCCCATACAAGTCGCTCACCGACGCCATTTCTACCTTAGGGGCCACTAATCTAGTGCTGCACAGTAACCCTCGCCGGCTGGTCCCCTTGACTCCCCTCGGACTGATGTCAGTAGTCCTTTGGATCTTCTTAGTTGACAACCAGTGGGAGTTGTCCAGGTCACACAGGCAGTGACAAGGACACTCAGCAGGAATTAAACAGAGATAAGAAGGGAACAACGCTGGATGATCATGTGACCACAGCTTAAGGCAAGTGAAAAGGGGGACTTAGAATGTTTTATTTTTTTTGCAGCCCAGTGATCAGTGAGGAGGGGGTGGGAGGTTGTATTATTTTATCCTGGAGTTGGGCTTTAAAGTCTAACTATTGGATTAGCCTGGATAGGGTATACTTACATTTTCCAGATGTCTCCTTGCCTGATGCAGAGTTCTCTTCCAATCTTCTACAGTGGTGAGCGCTCCTCAAAGATGCAGAGAGTGGATCTGATGTGATGATGTCAGGGCTGCTCTCTGCATGATTGCACTGAGAGTGCAGGGCATCATTCAACCTGGAAGACTTGTGGTGGAACAGAAGTACTGCGGGGGACAGCTCCGCATTAAAGAAAAGTATTGCAGAAAAAGCTGCCCTTTGGTTTTTTAATAAGCAGCAATGGGACCATTACAATAGCCTGGAATTGAGCTTTATAATATAACAGAAACATCTGAGACAAGTCCTTAACAATCTTCCTTTCAGTAGCATCCGCCAAGAGTCAGCGGCCTAGACCTTCGTATCCTGCATCAATACACCCCTTTAGAACAATTCACTTGGAAAAAATGCTGGCACTAGGAAGCAAGCATAGCCTGAATACAGGTAGCGTAGCTGCAAGTCTTCTTGCACTTTGCAGTGAAGGGTGCTGAGATAAAAGATGGGGCACAGCCAGGAAAATGCCACAGCACCATCTTTAGATAGAAAAAAGGGGAGGAATACCTGCCACAGACAGGAATATGTATATATAGGGAGAGAGAGAGTCCAGGACAGAGAGGAGCACACCTGAAGTTGCGTGGAGATGCAGGTGTCACGGAAGTCCTCAGGGCTCACTGAAGTCACAGGGTGACACAGTATGCTCTGGGGTCACTGTGTTACACAGGATGATCAGGGGTTAGAGAATCACAGAAGCATTGGGGTCATTGGAGACCCATGAGTGCACAGGGGGCACACAATCACTGGAAGACTCAGTTTACGCATTGCATTTATTGCTTGACCTCCGTTCTGCACGTCGCTTTGCCAAAATCAAGTGAGCTGTCTTCTGACTGGTTGCGGCGTGCCAGAGAGGAGACCCCTTTGTGGATCATAAAATAGGTGAGTGTTACAATCCCTCAGTGTAAAAGGATGTTCTATGATGTGGAATTTGGACAAAACTTACTTGCAGAAGAATCTGATTCCTCCTATGTGCTGCCTCTGATGCTTGGCTGTCCTTTCCAATCTGCTCGCCATAAATCTTCATCTCTTCAGTCAGTATATTCTTTTTATCAAGTCTATGGGAAAAACATGCAGAGACATGTATATACAGCATATAGGCTACTTTATGTTTCACCCATTAATTTTATTTTACACTTTTCCAGTAGGCGCTTAGGGAGCGGTAGAAACACGGATCAACCGTCTGTTTGTACTGCTCCTGTCCCACCGGTGTGAACTCAGCCTTATGGTTGGAGTTACAGAGTTTATTTTAGCTATGTTGGTAGGGGTCCATGTCAATGGACTTATGTCTATGGGCAAATGCAGCCTGCTTCCAGATGCTTTTTCAGAGGTGGTTGAGCAGCGGTTTGCAGGAGTTCATGAAGAAGTTGTGACAGTTTGAATGGTTGTGACAGACAAGGAGTATTCTGGCCTGTCAATCATGGTGCTATATCATAATGGGTGGGACACACCAGGTGTCTTCCGGCCTGTCAATCATGGTGTTATGTTATCATGGGCAGGACAGACCAGGAGTCTTCTGGCCTGTCAAAATTTGGGTTATATCATAATGGGTGGGACAGACAAGGAGTATTCATGCCTGGCAATATTGGGGTTATATCATAATGGGTGGGACAGACAAGGAGTCTTCTGGCCGGTCAATCATGGTGCTATATCATAATGGGTGGGACACACTAGGAATCTTCTGGCCTGTCAATCATGGTGTTATGTCATCAAGGGCAGGACAGACCAGGAGTCTTCTGGCCTGTCAAAATTTGGGTTATATCATAATGGGTGGGACAGACAAGGAGTCTTCATGCTTGGCAATATTGGTGTTATATCATAATGGGTGGGACAGACAAGGAGTCTTCATGCCTGGCAATATTGGGGTTATATCATAATGGGTGGGACAGACAAGGAGTCTTCTGGCCTGGCAATATTGGGGTGAATATCATAATGGTTGTGACAGACAAGGAGTATTCTGGCCTGTCAATCATGGTGCTATATCATAATGGGTGGGACACACTAGTAGTCTTCTGGTAGTAGTCAATCATGGTGTTATGTCATCAAGGGCAGGACAGACCAGGAGTCTTCTGGCCTGTCAATATTGGGGTTATATCATAATGGGTGGGCCAGACCAGGAGTCTACTGACCTGTCAATCATGGTGTTATATAATGGGTGGGATAAGCCAGGACTCTCTGTTACCAAGCAATCAAATTTGCATGTGTCAGTGGGCAGTACAGACTGGGAGCCTGAGACGCTCAGGTCCTCCAACTACAGACAGTGATGAAATTATTACGTCGCAGCTGGTAAACATACAACTGCAACGGAGATGTTACACAACTGGTAGCCTGTGGAGGGAACTACACATCAGCCACTGGTAGTACAAAGAGGAAATCAGGGACACTGAGATGTTATTTTTCAGGATTACTGGAGTTATTTTTAAGTGGCCGAAGCATTAGATTCCAAACAAATAACATATTTGCTCAAAGTAATAAATGACCTACCCAACGCTAAATGTTTGTGACTTGACATACACTTTATGACCCCCGCCATGATGGAGACCAGTAGACCACAAGGGCAATAAAGAGTCCTTCAATAGTTCAGAATTTGTTATAAAAAGAAAAAAAACATAAGTAGCTACGTTTACTAAATTTTTCCTAAATGATCAGGTTTGATTTTGCTCTGAACTTCCAATCCTGACAGAGTTCTTGATTTAGATTCCTGTGTGATGTGACACTGTGCCGGAGATTGCACTGTGTATATGTGCTACAGAGACATGCAAAGTAACACACATCTGACACAGTCACAGCATGTTTGCAGCATTGTTACCAACACATGTTCAGCACACCAGGCTGAGAAACCTCAAAGAGCGATAAGATAAACCTACAGAATTTTGTGTCGTCTTTCCAACTCCTCTTCTCGGGCTCTATACAAAGTCATCCTTCTGCTGCAGTTTTCTACAAAGGAAAGACACAGTTACTACTGTTAATACAGGTTGTAGTTGTACTTTTTCATGACCTAAAGTGACACTAAACTCAGGAGTTAAATCTCAAAAGTGCATTCAAGTACCCGAACTATTAACAAAAATTAGGGCTGGTAATGATTACAATTTTTGTGTTCGATTAATCAAAATTTTTTTTAATTGATTAATTTCGATTAATTATAATGCACATACAGATCCAACTACATTGGCCTATACACATACAGCACAGCAATGAAGTAATACAATGAACTAGGATCACACTAATCCAGCGAGTTATTAATCTCACGTGGGGCAACTCAGAATAATAACGTGCTGGATTAGTGTGATCCTAGTTCATTGTATGACTTCATTGCTGTGCTGTATGTGTATAGGCCAATGCCTTGGCTGGCGCTCGTGCAGAGAGTTTAGAAAAAAAAATTAATCGATCAAAAAAATTTTAATCGATCAAAAAGATTAATGATTAATCGAGAAATGAATCGTTATTTTGCACAGCCCTAACAAAAATGTATCTTATTTGTGTATCACTCGGCTGTAGATCCTCAAATCGTATCTGAATTGGTGCTGACACCGTCCTTCCTTCTGGAGGGTGGCTACTTTTGTTCCCCATGGTCCCTGTGTGTGATGTAAAATAGCTACCACTCCAATCTCCCTCCTGTGATGGACTACAATCTCAATACAAATTAGTTATCTAAACATGAGATTGTAGTCCATCACAGGAGGGAGATTGGAGTGGTAGCTATTTTACATCACACACAGGGACCATGGGGAACAAAAGTAGCCTCCCTCCAGAAGGAAGGACAGTGTCAGCGCCATAGGTGTTTGCCGGGTGTGCCTGGGCACACCCTAAATCAGCCCCACGCACACATGGAGCAGTAGATGACCTCTCAGTCTCCACCATACTAATCAATCCTGGACATTGTAGGCGAGGACAGTAAACATTACTGCTTGCCAAATGTGACCACTGCAATCAATGGGTACTGCAATTAAAAAAGAAGAAAAAAAAACAAACACATTCATGAGGTGGCAGTATTACCTCCTGCTGCTTTCCCGCCCTTCTAAAAAGTGGATGGGGTTTCAGAGGAACAGTGGAGCCTGCCACCCACTGTACGTTGTGGTGCTCTGCAGCATGTCTATTAGCAAAGTACATTGGGGTGCCATTAAAGGCTCATATAACAGACATTAATGGCCAAACACCTTACCGCTATACCTGTAACTGGGAGTAATAGGTGATGCGTACAGCCGTGGACAGCAGCCTGTACAAATCAGTGACTGTACCCACACATCTGAGCATTTGACCACAAATGGTTTGCATCCAAAGCCGCTCTTCAATCCCCACATGGGTGTAAATGAACAAATGTGCTGGTACAGGGCAGTACCTACCTTATATGCTGCTTGAGGCAGTGGCGGAGCGGGAGGGGTGGTGGTGGAGAGATGGTGTGTGGGGCAGCGGGTGCTACTGATAGAGGTGGGGGAAGGGGGGTTTGTGGCGGGACAGGCGGCTGTATTACAGCCATGCTGTCAGCATCTCTCTGTCCGGTCCTGTCCAGCTCGCTGATGTCATTGGTTGCCAGGAGCTCGGAGAGACTTACTGGACTACCTGGCAGGAAGCTGGTTAGAGCGCTGCCTCTTTGCCGCCCCCCCCCAATCAGATGCTGCCCGAGGCGACCGCCCCCCTAATGAGATGCCGCCTAAGGGGACAGTCCCCCTAATGAGATGCCGCCTGAGGCGACCGCCCCCCTAATGAGATGCTGCCTCACGGGACCGTCCCCCTAATGAGATGCCGCCTGAGGCGACCGCCCCCCTAATGAGATGCTGCCTCAGGGGACCGCCCCCCTAATGAGATGCCGCCTGAGTCAACCGCCCCCCTAATGAGATGCCGCCTGAGGCCGCCTTGTGTGCGCACAGCCGCACACAACACCCGTCACCCAAGTTTTACAGCATGCAGCCATTTACACTCATGTGCATTAACCCGAACAATTAAGGCATTGCAGCACACCAATGTGCAGAACATAACCATGTTGTGTTAACATGTGTGCAAAACATAAGCGTGTTGTGGTAACATGTGTGCAGAAGCACACATTGCCAAAGTGTGAAAACAGAGAAGCCAGTGGATCAGCATGACACCCATGCCAGATAACACAGAGAAGTCAGCCTATCCCTTCCCCACTGTCACCTGCCAATCATCAGCCCGGCTCTTCTCCGCGAGCACCTACGTCATCACCCTTGCCACCGCTTCCGCGTACAGGCGTAACCAGGGCAACCAGGAGGAAGCGATCGTCCAGAGCGCGCTACCTCAGCTATGTACCACACAGAAAAAGTGCACGAACTAGTGTTTTTTTTTTTACTCGGCCTTCAGAGATCCTTCTACGCTCAGCATAAGCAAAAAAACAAAACAGTTTTTCCTATAAAAAAAATCTTTAAAATGTTCACATGCAGTGGCTGCCATTTTTCTGTAGATCAAGCTCTATTGCACTATACAGCAAAATGACACGCAGCATGGAGACATTTTTAAAAAATATCAACGGTCCTCTTCTTTTTTTCTCTGCCGTGGCCGCTTGTTAGAATGAAGGGTGAACCAAATAATTGAGTGCTGCCGCCCTCTAGTGTCACATTAGGACATAGCGGGAGCACTGATTCTACACAGGTGTGTGATGGGATTGCAGCCTTCCAGGATGATAAGAATTTGTGGTAAGGGGGGAAAAAGCCTCATTAAACTTTATATTTCATTATTATTTCTATAGATGTGGCAGATACAGCCCAGAGTTTTATAAATTAGCTCATGTCAAACATTGTCTTGAGGTGAGGCTGGTGTACAAATGCTGAGGCTCACTGCAGAGTCTGAGCACCTTCAGTTTACTTTTAGCAGGAACAATTTTCTTGTTTTGTTAGCACGGTACCCCGTGTACTTGTATTGTTCCTGTGTCTCATGCAGTGTCACCCTGTAGCCACCTTAATGCCCGAAAATACAAAAGTTTGGGAGGAATCAGCTGAAGCTCTATTAGATTGGGCACAGGTGCATTTTGGGCTGGTTGCAAGGACACAGGAGGTCCCCTGATAGTGTGAGAGCAGGCGTGTATGCGTATTATAGCCTGGGTGCAAGGACACAGGAGGCCCCCTGATAGTGTGAGAGCAGGCGTGTATGGGTATTATAGCCTGGGTGCAAGGACACAGGAGGCCCCCTGATAGTGTGAGAGCAGGCGTGTATGCGTATTATAGCCTGGGTGCAAGGACACAGGAGACCCCCTGATAGTATGAGAGCAGGCGTGTATGCGTATTATAGCCTGGGTGTGAGGACACAGGAGGTCCTCTGATAGTATGAGAGCAGGCGTGTATGTGTATTATAGCCTGGGTGTGAGAACACAGAAGGTCCTCTGATAGTATGAGAGCAGGCGTGTATGTGTATTATAGCCTGGGTGTGAGAACACAGAAGGTCCTCTGATAGTATGAGAGCAGGCGTGTATGTGTATTATAGCCTGGGTGTGAGAACACAGAAGGTCCTCTGATAGTATGAGAGCAGGCGTGTATGTGTATTATAGCCTGGGTGTGAGAACACAGAAGGTCCTCTGATAGTATGAGAGCAGGCGTGTATGTGTATTATAGCCTGGGTGTGAGAACACAGAAGGTCCTCTGATAGTATGAGAGCAGGCGTGTATGTGTATTATAGCCTGGGTGTGAGAACACAGAAGGTCCTCTGATAGTATGAGAGCAGGCGTGTATGTGTATTATAGCCTGGGTGTGAGAACACAGAAGGTCCTCTGATAGTATGAGAGCAGGCGTGTATGTGTATTATAGCCTGGGTGTGAGAACACAGAAGGTCCTCTGATAGTATGAGAGCAGGCGTGTATGTGTATTATAGCCTGGGTGTGAGAACACAGAAGGTCCTCTGATAGTATGAGAGCAGGCGTGTATGTGTATTATAGCCTGGGTGTGAGAACACAGAAGGTCCTCTGATAGTATGAGAGCAGGCGTGTATGTGTATTATAGCCTGGGTGTGAGAACACAGAAGGTCCTCTGATAGTATGAGAGCAGGCGTGTATGTGTATTATAGCCTGGGTGTGAGAACACAGAAGGTCCTCTGATAGTATGAGAGCAGGCGTGTATGTGTATTATAGCCTGGGTGTGAGAACACAGAAGGTCCTCTGATAGTATGAGAGCAGGCGTGTATGTGTATTATAGCCTGGGTGTGAGAACACAGAAGGTCCTCTGATAGTATGAGAGCAGGCGTGTATGTGTATTATAGCCTGGGTGTGAGAACACAGAAGGTCCTCTGATAGTATGAGAGCAGGCGTGTATGTGTATTATAGCCTGGGTGTGAGAACACAGAAGGTCCTCTGATAGTATGAGAGCAGGCGTGTATGTGTATTATAGCCTGGGTGTGAGAACACAGAAGGTCCTCTGATAGTATGAGAGCAGGCGTGTATGTGTATTATAGCCTGGGTGTGAGAACACAGAAGGTCCTCTGATAGTATGAGAGCAGGCGTGTATGTGTATTATAGCCTGGGTGTGAGAACACAGAAGGTCCTCTGATAGTATGAGAGCAGGCGTGTATGTGTATTATAGCCTGGGTGTGAGAACACAGAAGGTCCTCTGATAGTATGAGAGCAGGCGTGTATGTGTATTATAGCCTGGGTGTGAGAACACAGAAGGTCCTCTGATAGTATGAGAGCAGGCGTGTATGTGTATTATAGCCTGGGTGTGAGAACACAGAAGGTCCTCTGATAGTATGAGAGCAGGCGTGTATGTGTATTATAGCCTGGGTGTGAGAACACAGAAGGTCCTCTGATAGTATGAGAGCAGGCGTGTATGTGTATTATAGCCTGGGTGTGAGAACACAGAAGGTCCTCTGATAGTATGAGAGCAGGCGTGTATGTGTATTATAGCCTGGGTGTGAGAACACAGAAGGTCCTCTGATAGTATGAGAGCAGGCGTGTATGTGTATTATAGCCTGGGTGTGAGAACACAGAAGGTCCTCTGATAGTATGAGAGCAGGCGTGTATGTGTATTATAGCCTGGGTGTGAGAACACAGAAGGTCCTCTGATAGTATGAGAGCAGGCGTGTATGTGTATTATAGCCTGGGTGTGAGAACACAGAAGGTCCTCTGATAGTATGAGAGCAGGCGTGTATGTGTATTATAGCCTGGGTGTGAGAACACAGAAGGTCCTCTGATAGTATGAGAGCAGGCGTGTATGTGTATTATAGCCTGGGTGTGAGAACACAGAAGGTCCTCTGATAGTATGAGAGCAGGCGTGTATGTGTATTATAGCCTGGGTGTGAGAACACAGAAGGTCCTCTGATAGTATGAGAGCAGGCGTGTATGTGTATTATAGCCTGGGTGTGAGAACACAGAAGGTCCTCTGATAGTATGAGAGCAGGCGTGTATGTGTATTATAGCCTGGGTGTGAGAACACAGAAGGTCCTCTGATAGTATGAGAGCAGGCGTGTATGTGTATTATAGCCTGGGTGTGAGAACACAGAAGGTCCTCTGATAGTATGAGAGCAGGCGTGTATGTGTATTATAGCCTGGGTGTGAGAACACAGAAGGTCCTCTGATAGTATGAGAGCAGGCGTGTATGTGTATTATAGCCTGGGTGTGAGAACACAGAAGGTCCTCTGATAGTATGAGAGCAGGCGTGTATGTGTATTATAGCCTGGGTGTGAGAACACAGAAGGTCCTCTGATAGTATGAGAGCAGGCGTGTATGTGTATTATAGCCTGGGTGTGAGAACACAGAAGGTCCTCTGATAGTATGAGAGCAGGCGTGTATGTGTATTATAGCCTGGGTGTGAGAACACAGAAGGTCCTCTGATAGTATGAGAGCAGGCGTGTATGTGTATTATAGCCTGGGTGTGAGAACACAGAAGGTCCTCTGATAGTATGAGAGCAGGCGTGTATGTGTATTATAGCCTGGGTGTGAGAACACAGAAGGTCCTCTGATAGTATGAGAGCAGGCGTGTATGTGTATTATAGCCTGGGTGTGAGAACACAGAAGGTCCTCTGATAGTATGAGAGCAGGCGTGTATGTGTATTATAGCCTGGGTGTGAGAACACAGAAAGTCCTCTGATAGTATGAGAGCAGGCGTGCGTGCGTATTATAGCCTGGGTGTGAGGACACAGAAGGTCCTCTGATAGTATTAGAGCAGGCGTGTATGTGTATTATAGCCTGGGTGTGAGAACACAGGAGGCCCCCTGATAGTATTAGAGCAGAGGTGTATGCGTATTATAGCCTGGGTGTGAGAACACAGGAGGCCCCCTGATAGTATTAGAGCAGGCGTGTATGCGTATTATAGCCTGGGTGTGAGAACACAGGAGGCCCCCTGATAGTATTAGAGCAGGCGTGTATGTGTATTATAGCCTGGGTGTGAGAACACAGGAGACCCCCTGATAGTGTTAGAGCAGGCGTGTATGCGTATTATAGCCTGGGTGTGAGGACACAGGAGGGCCCCATGATAGTATTAGAGCAGAGGAGTATGCGTATTATAGCCTGGGTGTGAGAACACAGGAGGCCCCCTGATAGTATTAGAGCAGAGGAGTATGCGTATTATAGCCTGGGTGTGAGAACACAGAAGGTCCTCTGATGGTATGAGAGCAGGCGTCTATGCGCGTTATGGGCTGCATGCGAGGATGCAGGAGGCTGCTTGATAGTATTAACTTGCTTACTCTGGCACACTCATAATGGTGGGAGGTCATTTTTAAAGTCCGTTCCCACTCCTGTGCGCCTGAAATGTGACATTGTTTACAGCCAGCGACGGCTGTTTCAAATAAGTGGTCAGGCGGCTTTAGAGCAACCCGATCGATTGTGTGGTGCATGGGAGCCCCCCTGGAGGGGGGGATATAGAGGAGAGGAAGCCAGGAGAAAGAGCAAGAAGAGCCAGCCAGGGGAGGGAGTAAGAAGAGAACACTTCCTGTTTAAGAGTGACTCCTCTCTCTGATATTATGAGGCCGCCTCATAATATCAGAGCAGGCACACATGTGCATTATGGGCACGAGGGCACAGAAAGCCACCTGATAGTATTGGAGCAGGCGTGTATATACATCATAGGCTGGGTGGGTGTGAGGATGCAGGGGGCCGCCTCATAATATCAGAGCAGGCACACATGTGCATTATGGGCACGAGGGCACAGAAAGCCACCTGATAGTATTGGAGCAGGCGTGTATATACATCATAGGCTGGGTGGGTGTGAGGATGCAGGGGGCCGCCTCATAATATCAGAGCAGGCACAC